CCTAGCAACACACATAAGCCCAGAGTTTTGTCTACTAGGAAGTCCTAAATTCAGCCAAGTTGACCATCAAGGTTAATTATCACAATAGGTATCTGCATGCATTTTTAAAAGATAACAGGAAAATGCCTTTGACCTTTGCCTATTCAGAAATCCTGATGGTTTAAGAGAGTCAAAAGGACTCTGGGAGGTTTCGACTTGTAACAGTTTTTAAGAAGTGCAGCAGCAGCATGGCCCACATGGAAAGGAGGTTTGGCATGATTCCCTTCAGAAATGTGATTTATTAGGAAGAAAGGTGTCCAAGCTGTGCTCATGAGGCCTGCAGGTGGAGGAGAACATCAGATGAAGAATGGTTCGATATAGTAGCCGCCACATGACAGGGGCCTTAAAGGAAGGAGAGGCTTCTTTTTAAAACCCGAAAAGGAGCTTCATTTAGAATGAGAAGGAAGAGAGAGCGTGCCATGAGAGGGTTGGGGGTGCAGCAGAGACTGAGGTAAGGAGTCTTCTGAGAATCCCCTGAGAAGATCCCAAAGACAAAGAAATTATCAGATTTGTATTGGGTTTTTGGTGAGCTGGTAGGAAGTTTCATATCTCATTATTTAGTTCAACATAGCAGATGCTGCAGAGCAGGAAGGAGCTTCAGGGAAGGGTGGCTGCCCAAGTTCATAAAGAAGCAGGTCTCCACGGGCCTCGCTTCTCCAGTGGCCACCCTCATGCTGCACCCCAGGAGTCCTTTCAGAAAAGATTATTTATTTATAGCTGGGGACAGAAGTCAGGCTCTCAGACAAACCCGTGTCAGTGAGCTCTGCTGATAGTCCTGGGTCTTCAGTGTCGTAGTTGTATTTTCGTATGGAGATAGACGCCGTCATCATATCAGGATGAATCCAGGTTAGCACAGGTCTTTTTCTCCAATCGAGAACAGGGACCTTTCTTGACTCTCAAGGGTCAGTCTTTCACCTGATCCCCAAAATCTCTACCACCCTAAGATCTCTTTGGGGTTCCTTTGCTCCTTCCCTGCAGACCTCTTCCTTCTCCTGACCAGTTTCTGTCTTCCTCAGTCTTCTGCTTATTTACTTATTACTTATGATACTGGGAACTGGGCCTAAGGCTCCTCACCTCACCCAGCGCTGAGCTATCACTTCATAATTCTTAATTGAGATAGGTTCTTATTAAGTTGCCAGGCTAGTCCTGGAGTTGGCATCATCTTGCCTATGCTATCCTCCCTGGCTCCCTTCATATTTTAAAAATCTGTTGTTGCCAGAACTACTGATGACACCCTAGAAAGTCAAGTTTGATCTTAGGTCAACAGAGCAAACCACCTTTGTTACATCACATTATTAATCAACATGCATTTTCAAAGCTTTTTAGCATAGATCTGGGAGACTTCAATGCTATTTTTGTCTCAAGATGGACACATATCCTGTGTGAGTAGGGATGCAATGCTAAGATTTATGTTTCCTTTTTCTAAATCTGAAAACCAGACAGAAAGACTTACCAGCATTTAACATGTAGCTGCCATGGGAGCCATCATCTGGCTGTGTGCAAGCTGTCACATATCAAGTCCAATCTTTTGAAGGCAAAAAGGGGACGGAAGAATACTGAAGAAATGACCGTTCAGTGTGCGTGCCACACAGTATGCTTCTGAGTAAACTGACATGGGATTACATTGTTGAGTTTATTTTCTGTTACAGCTTATGATTTTTCAGATTTATTTTGTGTCTGAGTGTTTTGCCTGCATGCATGCCTGCTTCCCACAGAGTTCAGAAGAGGGCACTGGATCCCCTGTAACTGCAGTTAAAGATGGTTGTGAGCCTCCATGTTGGGCCTGAGGCATGACTTCCACTGTTTGCCATGTGACATTTGGGATAGAGTCCCCTGAGAACAAATAAGAACTTGCATAGCTGTTCTGAAACTGTGTGGTACAAACTATTTTTCTTGGCTATTGTCCAATATTATTCACACGGCAGAACCAAATGCCTTCTTTAAATAAATACCGTTTTTTTTTTTTTAATCTCCCATGCAACCATCCCTTCATATTTGATTAGGTAACACTGATCACCTTCAATTGTACAATCACAGTAACCTGTTGTTTTAAAAATGTCTATTAGCTGATTTGATGGTGACTGTTTCCAGGTATAAGATTATAAGCCAATCCTTTTATACCACTTCCATTTGATGATGGATTGCTGCTGTGCACATCTGCGCTTATGGCTTGGTGAGTCAGATAACACCTAGCTCAGGTTGCATGGTAACTTGCTGGCTCACTGTCAAATGTTTAGTTTCCACTAAGGCTGCCTTGGGGAGAACAGTTGTCTGTATATGACAGGAGTCTTGATCCAAGATTCCAAAGGCCTCAAAGCCCTGTCAAAGGCTCCAAACAGCATCCCTGTCTTCTATGGATGCCTCAAGTACCATTGGGCCTGCTGGATTGTACAGGCCAAGCCGTAGAGCAGCCTGCACAGCAGTCTGGACTGGTTATATAGCTTCTATTCCAGGTCCGCTAAAAACTAGTAGTCTTCTGGGTCATTTGGTGTATTGGCTGGAGTAACACACCCAGATGAGGAACGTGCTGCTTACAGATCCAAACAGGCCCACTAGCCACTGTGCTTCTTTCCTGGTGGTGGGAGGATAGGCGAAGCAAGTTATTTCTCATTAGAAGGGACATCTCTGCATGTCCCACATCCTAGAAATTTCACTGGTGTAGAAGGCCCTTAAATTTTGATTGGATTTATTTCCCATCCTTTGATGCAAGTCTCATATTTGCCTATTTTTATGTATAGTCTCTGTGCTGGTTAGTTTTATGTTAATATGACATAAGCTAACGTCATCTGAGAGGAGGAACCTAATTAAGAAACTGTCTCCATAACATCAGGCTGTAGACAAGCCTGTAGGGCATCTTCTTAAATAGTGATTGATGGGAAGGGCCCAGGCTCTTATAGGTGGTGCCATCCCTGGCTGGTGGTCCTGGGGTCTTTAAGAAAGCAGAATAGGCAAGCTATTTGATGAAAGTAGGTTAAGAAGCATTCTCCTTGGTCTCTGCATCAGCTCCTGACTCCAGGTTCCTGCCTGTGTGACTTTCCGACCTCACTGGTTTTGATGATGATATGGAACTGTGAGTAAAATAAACCCTTTCCTCCCCAAGTTGCTTTTGGTCCTGGTGTTTCATCATAGCAATAGTAACCCTAACTAAGAAATCACACACACACACACACACACACACACACACACACACACACACACACCCCATCTCTGCATGTCCTCATGTTGCCTTTCATTTTTTAGGATAGTCTGCTCTGATGGAAAAAACCATCCACTTCGACCTGAGAAATTGCAAACATCAAGAACAAAGCAAACAACCCAACTTTGAATAGTTTAGAAAAGGACACCTTTTAGGTAAGAGCAACCCCTTCCTGGGGTTGGCAAGGCTCCTGGCTGGGTGAGCCTGGACTCTGACCTGCACGGTGTCCTCTGCAGGCTCAGGCAGCTCAGGCAGCCTGCAGCATAATGCTCCCGGCCACTCTGAGCTTTCTCCTTCATGTCCATCAGCAACTCTGCCCTATGGTCCTCTGGTGTCATGTCGGTAGTACATGAAGCCTCCAGAGTGTGGTATTTTGTGACTGGTCTTTGCAGTTTCTACTTTGCCTGCTCTACAGAGCCCATGGGGTCCTAAAGTATAGCTGCTGTTCTGGCCCCTCCTTGTAGCAAAGCTTTTGTCATGCCCACAGGCGCCCTCACGCATGTAAAAGATGAGAGTAGTGATCTTTTGGCTATGCCCTCTCTATCCCGGGTTCCAATGCAACCCTGAAGTCTAAGTGGGGCTAGGGAAGCATATAGGCCCTGTTGTGAGCACCCTTTTCTCATCCCTATACACCTCTGCATCAGGGCAAGGTCACCCTTCCTGAAATACCCTCCTTCCCTGCTGGAACCAGCCTGTCCTTCCACCCTCTCCTGTCATCTTGGGATCTGAATAAATTTCATGAGCAGGAAATTAAATAAAATTCTCAAATGTTGAATTTTCCAATTAGATAATGGGGTAAAGAGCATTATTAAAGTTTTTCTATTCCAAAGGAGGGGGTAGCTCCCTGATGCCTGGGAGGGGTGAGTGACCCCTCCCTCATTGGGAAGACACAAGTGTCTACCACAGGTTCTGAGCAAGCCTGACTGCCCTGACAGGCTGTTTTCACCATTTCAGAATCCCAGAAACACATCAACCCATCTGAGATAGCCAAAGAACACAGAGCTGCCTGTCTATGTGCACTTCACACTGTGTAAGAAGCTAAAAATCCGATAAATTCCAGCCAGATTATAACTAGGCATTCTAATGCACTTGGAAAAATCCCAAAGTACTGCTATCTCTATTTAAACAGTCCAAAATTTCTAGTGCAACACAGAATTCTTCACCTACTTTTTTCAACTTTTGTGGTGCTGGGGCTATGCATGGCAGACAAGGGTCCCACACAGAGATTTGTTCCCATCTCTAATCCATGCTGGTGATGTTAGTGTGGTCATCTAGAGTCACCTGGGAGATGGGCCTCTGGGCATTATCGTGAATCCATTAATTGATGTGGGATGACCCATCCTAATTGTGGTCATTTCCTGGCCAGGAGATCTTGGACCATATAAAGTGAAAAGAGTAAGTTGAGCACTAGCATCCTTCTGTTTCCTGCTTATAGATGTGATGTGACCGGCTCCCTCAAGCTCCTGCTGCTATACTCCCCTGGCAGGATAGACTGCAGCCTCAAGCCAGGTGGGGAGCTAAAATCCTTTCTCCTTAAGGTGCTTTCAACAACAGAAAAGTAACTAAGACAATCCCTCACAAATGCTAAATAAATACACAGATTTTTTTGTTAATCGGTTAAAAGGATTTTATGTTTTTGGAGTGATGTGAATATCAAATGATAGTCAAGAGTTTTGCAAGAGAAAAGGAAATAAGATTTTTCCCAAGATGACATTCTTGTATTACAATGTCAAAATAGACTGATAGGAAACAATTGCAGAAATGATTAAACTGCTGCGTATTTACTGTTTTTATTTTCTTTTTGATTAAATATACAAGCCTTCACAATGTGTGACATAGATCAATTTTCTTTTTAATCTGAACAAACACAGTTCTCATCAATGACAGTAGTGCTTACTGAAATGCAAGATTTCTCAAGAAAACCTTTTCAAGCTGCACACTTCTGTTCAAAACCAAGTATGTGTCTACTTTTCTAGGCCTTTGGGTACAAGTATTGCAAAGCGGGAAAGTGTGTGTAACATGTGAGTTTTATCAATCAGTTCTACACAATTATTAGTCAATGACTTGGGTATGGAACAAAGCCAAAAGTGACTCCCTTTGTGACGGCCCCCTTGGGGAATCTGGACATGGTCTGTTTTCTTCTCTGGCTGAGACAGAGATATGCAGGGAAATCTTTCAGAAGTAAAATTCCTTGTTCTTACAAAGCAAGTTTAGGGAGGAAAACAGGAAAGCGGCAGATGTCTCCTGGCTTGATGCTTGTTTATCTTAGTGCATATTTTGGATTTAATCCAGGTTAACCATGGTGTAGGCACACGTGTATTTAGGCTACTGGCTCATACACATTTCAATGACTAAAAGTATGTAAACACTAAGCAGTTGTGAAACATAATGTCTTTTTTTGTTATTAGTTTAAAGGACTCTATAATATAACAATAGGCCACATATGGTTCAGAACCAAACAAAGGCTATTTAGTCATTTATCTTGTAGTTGCTCCCTTAGGAGGTAAGAAACCCAGCACTGTGGACTTAAATTTATTTTCAATTAAAACACATACAAATTAGGAAATGTCACATATAGTGGTGATCGTGTGTGTGTGTGTGTGTTTGTGTGTTATGTACAAAAACTTTTTATGTGTGGTTGCTTCCGATGGCACCCTGGCTATATGAGAAGTCACATAAGGACACTTAGCTAAATAATTCAATCTCTGTTCATGTTTAGGACAATATTTAACTGTTTTTCCTTCCATGCAAATAGGAGGAAGAATGTACACTTGCTTAGTACTGATTTTTGAAAACAATCCCCCTGCCTCTCGAGTCCACCATTTGCCCACATCCCACATGAATAAAAGAAATCAGCTCAGGAGGGCAGGCCTCTCTGCTATTATGTTGTTTTCTAATTAAAACGCAGAGCATTAAACACAGCTGAGTGCGTCATCACACACGGCGTGCTGTCATCACACACAGGGAGCGACGCTCGAGAGCAGGCAGTGAAGGCTCATTTCATCACATCATTAAGATTCCTTGTACCCTCACTTCTGAAAGGCTTTGTCAAAGCAGATAATAATGTCCTGTCAGAACCCGGCAAACAGACTCATGAGAAACTGTTCGTTTACTCCTATTTTAGTAAGGGAACCTAGCTGCATTCTTACTGTACAGGCTCAGGAAGAGATTGGAGAGGCTTTGGGTTCTTATTGTCATAAAATGTTATTTAAAAAACACAGCTTTAAAAGAGTTAAGTGAACAATATTTGAGTCACCAGGTGGGCGTATTCCTGGGAAGAGTCACGAGCACATGACTACACTATATCAGAAGGTGTATTCAGAAGGTGGGTGGGTGGGATTTTTGGGATCAGAAGTTTAATTTGTAATGAGTCAAGGGCAAGCATAGTCTTCTCTTCCCAAAACAACCATTTGTACTTACATTTCTAATCTGTGTGGGGGGGAAAAAAGCTCATTCCTTAAAACAGTCTTTTATACCCTGCTGAGTGAAGATGGCTGTGGAGACAGACTTTTTACTCTGGCTTCCTGAGTAGAGTAGAAGAATCATGTCATTATCCGGGAAGGAGATGTTGACAGTTTTTGCCTCATCATATTCGATATTTTTCTTTACCATGTTCATTGATCACACATATGTGCTGAAACAATAGAGGGTTAAAAGGCATCAGGGTTTAATTTTTGGTTTAAAAATCTGCATATAATATACTAGATGTCTTTGTGACATTTTCAACAAGTGTGTTTGGTGGCACCCCCCCCCCCATCAGCATCAATTACATAAGTAGAAAGGATGAGGCACAGAACGGATGATTTGGTAATACCAGCCTGACATCTTGGGATTGGTTACTGTTCATTTAAACATGTTTGTTTATATGGGTGTATACAATCTAGAGTTCCATTTGCTGCTCAGACAAAGGTTCTCTGGTGATTTAGCTTTGAGCCTTAGTCAGGATCTGGTTTCCAGGCCCCCTAAAAGTAGAAATGTTTGGTTTGGTTGTCCCTGGTGGAGATAGTTTCCCATTGTGAGATGACAACTGCTTGATTGAAAAGGAAAAAAAATACTGGGGAATACAATCTACTCTGTGAGCCCTCTTTTGGATAGCAACAAGTATGTTAGGACTATAAAAGAGCTGAGAGTGAAGCAATGGGAAAAGCGGTAGTCCTAGGGACCGCAGCCTGCTCTGCTAAGGATGCACTAGACATAGCTACCAGAGAGCTTACAAGCCCAGTCCTTGGTCTTGGTGACATTTGGCCTTCCTTCCTTCCTTCCTTCCTTCCTTCCTTCCTTCCTTCCTTCCTTCCTTCCTTCCTTCCTTCCTTCCTTCCCTCCCCCCCTTCAAGTCAGGCTTTCTCTGTGTAGCTCTAGCTGTCCTGGAACTAGCTCTGTAGATGAGGCTGACCTCAAACTCACAGAGATCCACCTGTCTCCACCTTCAGAGTACTGAGATTAAAGGCATGCACCACCACCACCTGGATGGCTTTTTAATTTCTAATAGTGAGACACTGGTTGGTCATTTTGGGTAAGATGCCCTCCTCCAGATCACTAAGGGGTTGCATCATTGAGTACTATGTTGGAGGACTGTTTCTGTGTGCTGAGACAGTTTACCCAAATTAACTCTCCACTGTCACTGTCACCCAAGTGGCCAGCTGCCAGACATGGACATGAAATGGCTTATGGTGATTAGCTGGGCATCACCAATGACTATTGACAAAAATCAGTGTAGGCCATTGTTCTGCTTCCTTATTTAGCACAAAATACAGGCAAGCATCATGCATTTCAACCATTCTAGGACCTACCTTGTAGGGTACATGAAGAACTGGAAGAATTCACTGTGAGCATCTCTCAATGTGCTCACCCCATCCCCATCACAAAGTACACCTGATTGTTTTACTACTTATTTTAGTAATTTGTTAAATTGATGCTAGTATTGCGTATCCTTAGATAAAGAGGATTAGAGTTTTATATTGCAACACTTACATTCAGGTCTCGGAAGTATTCATTGTAGTCTAATGCGTAGCCTACCACAAAGACATCTGGGATCTCAAATCCAGCATCTTAGCAGAAAGAGACAAGGAAGAAAGTTTAGAGCATGCAAGCATGCTATCACCGTATGCTGCTGTGGCACTTAAATGGTGAGGCCAAAGTGAGAAGTAGTGTGCAAGATAAGGACAATGGGTGCCTGGACCAGAATTACGGCTTGGAGACACCAGGCAAACAAGCAATCATGGATGGGGAATGGACCCATGGGCGGGGAATGTCCAGAGTTGAGAAAGGATTCAGGAGGCCCAGTGGATGAGAAGTGTGTGAACGCTAGCTAAGTGGCTTTGTCCACAGCAAGCAGTATGTAATGTCATAACGCCTAAGGAGCTGCTCCGAAAAGCACAAGGACCATTCAAATAGCAAGCACCACATGGCACCGCCATACATGACCAGGTGTGCCGGCAACAACCGGGAAGCAATTCTCCCACTGTGTCACTGTCCTCAGCTGCTTGAAGGACTGGAAAGCAGAACCTGGGAGACAAGATGAAAGGAAAGGGCCTTGTTCAGCTTGATGGAGAACGCCATGCTGATCTCTGCATTTACAGTGCAGGGGATCCTAATTAGCTCTTTGTCTCTAACGAGGGCAGAATGTGAGGAGATGGGTGTAAGCGCAGCACAAGGTACCTGGGCTCACAGAGGATGACTACTGGGAGGAAGATGATGTTTAAGAACGGTTCTCTTCCAGAGATCTTCAGGAAGAATAAATGTGTGTGGCCCAGTGATTTTCAAACTTGCTTCAGTACCAGAATCTTGTAACTTTGTTCATTATAATACAATTGAAGAGAGGTGTGTGTGCCTAGTGATATGAAACTGCCCTTGGCATAGCCTGTGAGCTGGGAGCGTGGAGAGTGATCTCCATGGTCACTACGTTTTTGTTTTCTGTTCACCCTACCCCCTAACAGCATTTCTCTATGTAGCCCTTAGCTATCCTGAAGCCCCTTTTGTAGTGGGAGATTGACGGTGCGCTCCCCCACCACCCAGCCTGTCATTTTGATCTTGATGACCCAATATGCTTTGATATGGAAGAGCCTAGGCTCCATCTTGCAGAAGTGTAGCAGTACAGGATCAGTTTTCTATAGGCCTGCATTATGGGGTCACTAAGCATTATGGGGCCTGCTTGATTTCTCAAACTCACTCTTGAAAGTCTTAAAAGTTAAGACTTTAAAGGAAAACTTAAAAGTCTCCTGTATATAATCCCAACACCTGGGAAGCTGAAACAGGAGACTTTTAAGTTTAATGCTGGCCCGGGCTACACAGAGAGACCCTGTTTAAATAAAGAGAAACAAATTCAAAGAGGAGAAGCAAGGGCAGAAGAAAAGACATTAGTACTTGGACATGTAACAAGCAGTCAAAGATGCTCAAACTGCACTCCAGAAAGAAAGGAGAAGCAGATTCTGACCTAGCTAACAGAACAGCATCAGATTCCAGGAAATTCTATTGTATCATTAACAGACTTTCCAGTGAGCAGAGTAGTCCTTTCAACTGAAGTCCCAAACCATGTAGAAGACCGAATATTGTGATGTCATGGCATAAGAAACTGACAAGGGGCTGTCAGAAATCAGGAGCCCATCACTGATAAACGCGGCCCTGCAGTGTCTGTAAGTGTGTGACCTGAAGCACACTGTCTGGCTCGTTACTGGACCCTTCGCTTGATGACCCTGGCAAGCTGTTTAAGCTTCTTGTGTTCCATTTCTTCATCTGTTAAATGGGCATAACAAGAGCTTGCTTGTTTTCTGTGTTCCTGAATGCTTATTGGCAGTAGCAGGGAGAAGCCTCACTAAGTGTGCAGGGTCTGGAAGGGTGGAGGAGAATGCTTCTAAAGCTTTGCGGTACCTCTTTGATTGGTGAAAATAGCTGCCAGTCAGGGATCCTGAATGTCGGAATTGGTCTAGAGGAACAAGTCTATCCCTACCCTCAAACTGATCAACTGCACAAAATGTAGCAGCAGAAGCATCCAGTGCACCAGGCGCGGTGCACACCTGTAACTCCAGCACACAGGAGGCTGAGATGGGGGAGATGCTGGTTTGAGACCAGCCCCGGCTATCTAGCTGAGCTGTATAGCAGCCTGCTCTAAATCATGTACCAGTAAGGTTTCTTAAAATACAATAAAACAAAAATCCAATATATAGGCTGGAATTGTGGCTGATGCAAACATAACGAGGTGGTCCCTCAAAGAGCCTCCTTCACAAGGTGGTGGAGATGAAGAATTGTATCATTGTCAGTCTCACATGAAATGCCAAAATAAAACACCAGCACCAGAAAATCACCCAAAGCCTGCAACACTTACAGTCAGGTCTAACGGTGTCACTTCTGGCTGTTCTTTTCACCAACAAACTGCCATTAAAAAAAGAAAATTACTTTAGTCACTCCAGTAAATCGAGATATGAATTTCAGAGAGAAGTAAATACTGTTGAGCTATGTCACCGTCTCAAGCCTGTGGAGTGTCACCATGGCCTGCTTACACCTGCCTTTGCCACTGTGGCTTGGCATTGCTGTGCCAGCTAAAAGGATGCATGCCAAGTAACTGCTCAGGGCTCATCTAGCTGCTCATGGAAGCACGTGGCTCCTGTCAAAGGCCTTCCTCTCTCCTTCCTCTCTCAGTCTAGCAATCAGATGAACTATTGGTCAGGGTGGTTGAGCGGCAGCATCCCAGTTCACAGGGCAAATGCTAGGAGCAGCACACTGAGAGGAGCCCTCTTTGTCTTGTTTCAAAGGACAGAGTCTGTGCTGTGGTGTCTGACTCACCTGGCTACCTTAAGCATGTTGGGTTTGTACTTCTCGATGCTGCTGAGCAGAGCTTTCATGGTCCTTCCAGTTCCAACAACATCCTTTGCAAAAAGCAGACAAGTTCAACAAAACAGTTTACACAGCATAATGCACTTTACGTTTGTAGAGCTATTCCTTCTTAATAAGATGCACATTAATTTCAAATGCCAACCAATACGAGTCAACATAGGAAGCAGGATCAGTGATGTTTTTCAAAGGAATTTCTTTTTGGAAGAACATGTGGTCCTTTCCCCATTAAGCGTCCCCAGACTTCTGCATGTACAATCAGGGGTAAATTTGGCCTGGAGGTTGCATTTCACAATGCAAGAGATACATGAATTTTCATGGACATGGGATGTACATCTGAATACACTGAAAGGATAAGCACCTCCTCAGCCTCTCAACTCCTTAGGGGATGGCATGGCTGGGAGGCAGCTGGTGACAGCCAGGAGGTCCAAGCTTCTCGGCTGCAGCAAGCACAGGGTCTCCTCTGCTGGTGAGCTGGGGATGCACAATTGCACAGAAGTGGCTGCTGTGATTTATTGTCCTGACAGAACTCAGCTGTCAGGGGCTGGCAGGGCGGAGTCTAGACATCGTCAGTGACTCCTCTGGCTGGAGGGTCTAATTGTGAGATGTGTGAAGTCAGAACTGCGCATACAGAAGGCCACACTGGCAAATGTCAAACAAAAGCCTGAGGACAAAAAGACCCTTTGAATTTTTGGAGGCTGATAAGTCAGGAGTGCTCTTGAAGGAGCATGGTCATTTACTATGGAAGTCTGCTGTGGGTCACAAGACAGCCTTTCTGTTTCTTTCTTAACGGAACACAACGACAGCAAAAGACCCACCACTACCCAAACCCCATAACTTTCCCTAGGACTGCCATATCACTTGCTTGAAATAAAGATATTTGGGGCTTAAGAATGGATTAAAAGCATTAGAGATAATTAGGTGAGAGTTCTAGCCTTGGTTTTCCTGTTAAATAAATAACAGTAAATGTATTTACTGGTTCTACAAGCTAGTTTACTCTCCCTACAACTGTCTGGCCCATAAATCCTTGCAAGAATGGATTGAGATGTATGTGAGGTTGGATATAAAACAGTACCAACTACCAGTCATCGTAAAGTGTTGATTCTGAGTGAGCTGAAGCCAGTGGCTATAGTTGGCTTCTGTCCAACACATTTGAAGAGCTACACAGTGGGACTCAATACTTGGCTAATTTGATAAACAAGACCAGAATTTAAAAACTCACCGTTAGATTCTTGTAACTTCCAAATACAGAAAAGGAAAAGGCAGCTTACCTCAACAATGAGGACATTCTGAAGGGAAATTAAAAAAAAAAAAAAATTCAGATTATAACTTTTTTGTTTGTTTGTGTTTTTTGTTCTGTTCTGTTTTGTTTTTCTTGAGACAGTGTTTCTCTGTGTAACAAGCCATGGCTGTCCTGGACTCATTTTGTAGATCAGGCTGGCTCAAACTCACAGAGACCCACCTGCTTCTGCCTCCCTGAGTGCTGGGATTACAGGTGTGTACCACCACACCCAGCTTCAGAATATGATTAAAAAAAAAAAAAAAAAAGTCTGGGACACAGGATAAATGCAAGTTTTTCTTCCAGTTAGAATTTCACTGTGCTTGGTAGACCTTTCTCACCCCACGAGTGCAAACACTTGGAGGAGCAGTTCTCCACCTGTGGGTCATCATCCCATTAGGTCCTCTTCACAGACCATCGGCATAGCAGATGTTTACATTACAGTTCATGACAGTAGTAAAATCACAGGGATGAAGCAGCAATGAAACAACTTTATGGTTCAGGGTCACCACAACATAAGGAACTGTATGAAGAAGTTGCAGCATTAGGATGGTTGAGAACCACTGAAATAGAGGAAACCTCAGTGTCCCAGATTCATTTTAACATCCCTGTGGAATCACTTGGTGTTTCAATTTTATTGCCCATATTCAGGTTAGTTAGTAGCAGGCTCATATCAGACCTTGTTGCCTATTTGAAGTGACTATCCATAAAATTATGATATTATAGCCATGTTCCTCTGTCTCCCAGCTTTGGGATTGCAAACTCATGAGGAAAGCCGGCCAAGATAAACTACATCTGCAATGCTCCGCATATCACAGACTTAGTAGCCACAGCCCTCTTCCCAGGTAGCTATGCATATCCCTGCTGTATCTATGCTTGGATTCTCAACCCCGAGGAAACAGGGTGGGGGTGTCCAAAGAGCTGTGTCCTTTTCACAGATGTGGTCAGATCCCTTGCAGAATACTCACTCACATGGTATTCATCTGCTTTTGCCTAAGAACACAAATTACATCCCAATTTCTTCTTAGATAACTTCTTCACTCACTAGCCTCTAATCCTCATGGAGTGGGGGACTGTGTCTGTTTTGTTCTCTCCTACATTCCCAGGCCTACTGTACCACCTGCATGTGAAAACAACTGTCTTTTAAAAGAATGACTATTAAGCTTATCAATGGATTAAAATCACCAAGTACCTGGATTAGTAGTAATATGCCAGTGCTGTCCCATCAAATTACGACTATCTTAACAATACCACTGCATGAAGTGGGACGGATATTCCTATGAAGTTTTATTTTATGCGTTTACATTTTCCTATTTATTTATTTATTACCTGCACACGGAGGGCCAGAGGACAACCGGGCACTGAACTCAGCCTGTCAGGTGTGGGGACACTGCTTTAACCTTTTACAGTAATTTTACTCAATTAAGTAATACTGTAATGTTGATTATCAAACTATACATTTCTTATTTGTATCTGATACAAAGGAGATTTAATGAATAAAAAATGCTATCAAATAATCTACCCATACAAGAACCATGATGAAGCAGCATTTCAATGTTAAACATGTAGAAACACTTCACTGGAAGAGCCTTTTCTTAGTGATGGAATACTTATTGAACCCATTTATTAAGAATATTTATTTTATCAAGATGAAAGGATGTACTGTCTACTCCTGAAGTTTTGTATTCTCTCCACGCCACTGCACAGTAATGTCTTATGTAAGGATCAGGCCATAGCATCCCTGAAGACTCATACTGACAGGATTCCCTTTAGCATTTTCAACATGGTTTGCTATCACTTTTGCCCTCTATCTGCAGCACTTGAACATGTATTTTCAGGTCGACTGAGGCTGGACCAAGCCTATGAGCTAACCAGGATGGTTAATTGAATTTTGTTCGCAATCTGTTTTTGGTTTAATTGTGTAAACAAAAATTTCTTTCCAAGATATGTTGGTATGTATTCTTGTCTAATTAAGCAGAGAAGCCTGAAAAAAATTAAATTTCAGTCTCTCTCCCCTTAATTTAGAAACTGTATGAAACAGAAGTCATCTTTGAAAAGGTTAACCACAGCTCTGAGACTGTAGGTAGGAAGTGGGACTTGGATGTGTATCGGTCCTGAAAAATATTGTCAGAATCATTCCAACCTATTTTAAGTTTGAAAGGTTTCACCTCTCCTCTCCCTGCATACTGCTTTGAGAGGGCGGCCGCCTCTGTACTGCCTTCCTGGCTGTGTGCTTGTAGTTCTCACATGTGCAGGTACTTTATAGTTCTAAAAACACATACATTAAAAAAAAACAAACCTTTTTTTGCAAGACTGAGAATGGAGGCTGGACCTCATGTATGCCAGACAAGTATTCTGGCCCTAGCCTGATATATTTACTGACACACTTTATATAACAATTTGGTTTTTAAATGTATTCAAATCATGTTTGAGAACAGAAAATCTAAAGATCTTCCCTCTTCACTTCTTCCTTTATTTCCCAGCAAAATACTTGCTAGGTAAGCAAGTACCCTATCACTGAGCTATCCCCCAGCCCTGAACTTTCTTAACTTTTGATGCATATTTAATTGTAAAGCATTTAAATGTATTTTTGTATACTTTTGTGTATGGTAAGGGTTAAACTTACCATAACATTCTCTATTTTATATAACCAAAATCTCACATCTACCAAAAATGGTGAATCACAAAAAGCTAGCTACATATTTGATTTTTTCCAACTCTCTTTAAGAAGGCCTTTGTAGTTTGTTCCTCCTAAGACCACACTCTGGATTCTACTGAAAGTACTGAATGTATTCTCCATAGTACCGACACTGAAAAATTCATCACCAGTAAACACTGAAATGGGACCCAATAAAAGGTGATCCAACCAAGCATTGTCCTCAACAACAGAATACTACCATTACTGCAAGAATGGGTTAGTTGCCTTAATAGCAGATTGTTGTAAAAGTGAGGTGGCCCCCTCTCAATCTTGCATCTCTCTTCCTTGTCTCTCCACTTTCCATCATGGGATGATATGGTATGAAGGACCTAGGTATAGAAGTTGTAATTGTCCTTAGAAGGATTTGTGCAAGTATCTAAGGGAACAAATCCTTCTGTTTCCATGTGCTAAGATTAGACTCAAGGGGTAAGAGATAAATAGTTAGCCCATCTTCATACCGTCAGCACAGAACACCAGAAGAGGCGATCCAGAAAGGTTTGTGCCCCAGCTATGGTGGTGCACATGTAGGCATAGCACCTAGGGAGCAGAGGCAGGGTGACTGAGAGTTCCAGGCCAGCCTAGGCTATACAGCAAGACTCTGTGCAAGGAAGGAAAAAAAGAAGGAAGGAGAAGGGGAAGAACTAAAAAAAGGAGAACTATGTAATAAATGAATAATTTTGGCTCACTTCTTTCACTTTCTGTAGCTCATTTTACTTCTGAGACATTATCTCCGTCTATCTTTAATGGTCTGCAGTTCTTTCCTAACCAACCTTTCATCACCATCTATGCGCTGCACTGTCTACTAAGATTGTAAGTGGGTAACACTGGGGATTTTTTTCAGAACACTCTGTGCCTCCAGGACACTTCCCATCTGATAACCATGATTCCTGAATCTGAGATGTTTGCCAATTACTGTCTTAGTCATCTCCTCACACCTAGCTCACTTCCTCCCAGGGAGCCAGTAAAAGTCTGCAGGGGCTGCAGGCAAAAATTCTGTAGGGGCTCACTCTCTAGACCCACGCGTGTCGTTTCCCTGCCATTCCAAGGCCAGCAAAGCCCATCACTGAGTTTTCCTAATGAAGACGGAAGCAAGAAAGGAGAGAAGAATTATACAAATACAGATGCTCTCCTCAAGTTGGCCGGTCCCATCTTTAACCTTTGGATATACATAGCGATGAACACGCTATGCTGTCTCAACAGCAGCAACAGGGGGTTGTGGGTGTGGTCACCCTCAGAGGAACTGCCATGGCAAAGATGAACTGGATGGTGGCTGCTGACTGTGAGGAGGAGTGTGGATATAAATCCCACAGAGAAAAGAATCGCTCAGCATTTAATTTTATGTGATAACTCACAAAATTGCCAGAGTCATCCATCAGTGGGCATTTTCACTATTGTTCTCAGCCTAGTGAGAGGTAATAAAAAGGAATGATTTAAACAGTTAAGGCAGCAGGGAGTGAGGGCAGGGGGTAGGATTTTGGCAAGTTTCAATGCTTCATTCTGGCATTTGATTAGAAAATTCTTTGAGGGTGGGGCACTGGTCCCCTGAAATCTTGCACTGGACCTGCATAGCTGTGTGTCTGCACTGCTAGATCTGGGCCTGCTTCCTTGTCTTTTGGTTTTACTCCACCCTTTCAGGGGTTTCTCGTGAACATGAATAGAATCTTCCTGCTTTAATGGATACACACATTTTATAAAGTACCAGGATTAAATCAAGTTGGGGGAAAATCAGAGGAGAGTGTCTTGTGTAGACAGCTTAAACACACTGAGTCAATGTTCTAAAGTGTGAGAGATGACTGAACAGATCTGGTGAGGGCTCATTGCAGCCAACAGCATCCGCCTATTTGGAGCCATGACTCTGCCAGCCTCCCCTGAAAGTGAAAGAAGGTGGCAGAGAACGATGCAAGGGGAAAGAGGATAGTCTCCTTTCTCTTTCACCATCTTTAGAGAACACTAGAGGTTCCAGAGCTGTTGAAAACACCCGTAGCACAGGGGGAGGTGTTTCCATGTGCTTTCTGGGGCTCTTCCTTTCATAAACTAATTTAAGAACTATTTCTTTGCTCTCTTCCCCCTTTTTGTTGCAACTTTGCACACATAGGCAAGTTCTCAGGCTGGCTCAGCCCCTGACTGACCTCTCTCCCGTACTTCTTCTACCCTGCTAGGTTCACTCTATGCTTTAAAGTTCATATTAAACAAATGCATTAATTAAATTCACAATTAATTGATTGATTGAACTTTCTATGATATACCACAATTATATTCTTTTCCCCTTAAAACAGCTCCATGATGTCACCTCTGCCCAAATTGAGCAAGTTCACCTCTTTATTGAGACAGTCTACTCCATAAACCCAACCCAACTCCACCTCTTTTATCATTTCCTTGTTCTGTTCCTGACTTGTTTCTTAGTCATGCAGGTCTAGCCCTGCCCAGTGTTCCTACTTTCCCTTTTTCCCCTGATTTCTCCTCGGATGATTCTTTTCTCTCTCCCTTCTTCTGTTACTTCCACACTCGTACCTTCTACCTAAGATCATGACAGTTTCAAGAATTTTTTCTCCTTCCTCCCTCCTTCCGTCCCTCCCTCCCTCCCTCCCTCCCTTCCTTCCTTCCGTCCAAAAAAAGGAGATTTGTGAGAAGACTCAAGAAGCTATTCTTGAGGTGCCCTATTAGCATGATAATGCAAATGTATTGACTGGACTGGTGGCTATTCGTGGTGAGTATATGAGGAAGAGGAAGTAAGATGATGGCCTGTAACATCGGGAGCCCTGCCTCCCGATGCAGATGTTATTACAGTTTTGGACTCTTCTATATCCACTAAAACAAGGAACTATCAAGTGTTGAGTGCTTTATTCTCTTCAGTTTGTTCCAGCCCTAAACTAAATCAGCTATCCTCATTAACTTTTGTTGCCCTCCCGAACATTCTTTGTGAATCAGCCAAAGTGGTCTTAAAATCCAGTTTGGATCCCATCACTTGCCACCAGAAACCATGCCAAATTGGCTTAGATTTAACATTTCCCTCTGCCCTGTCCTCACTCGAAAGTAACTGAGACTGTCTTTCTGATTTCTACATAAGGTGATGCACTCACTGGCCATCCAATATTTACTCCAACCTGTGATGGAACGGCGAACACAGTGGTCCCCACCCACTTTACACTGACCTCCTGGTGGGGAAAGGCAAATAAAAAACAGGTCCCTAAGGAAGTGCCTAATTGTAAATTGTAGAAAGGGCTCTAAGGGAACTAGGTTTGCATATAGATGTATGCTACAGCTGGGGGATGGCAGAAGAGCAGACCAGGCACTCATTCCTGACAGCTCTGCAGGGAAGCCACGCTGTACAGAGCAAACACTGGAAAGTGGGTTCCAGGAAGAAGACAGCTTACCCAAGATGTTGGCAAGAAATGCTTAGCTAGTGAGTCCAGTGCCTTGAGGCCAACAAAATATGACCATGTGGTTGGGGATGCTAGCTAGGTCAAGTAGGACTTACTGTAGTTGGGAATTTGCATCATATTTATAGAATATTGGGGAAAGGCTTGCTAGGTAAACCATAAACATCTAATTATATTTTAAGGTCAGGTAATCAATGAATAATTTTTTAGAGTAGGTATGTCCAAAATACCACACAAGACCCAGTTACATATATTTCTACTGAACATTGATTCAATATTTGAAGTTCAAATTTGACTGGGCTACGTGGTTTTTGTTTTGTTTTTGTTAAATCTGGCAACTGTTAATTAAGAGGCCACTGAAAGGTTTCAATTGGCAAGTGGCATAAATCCATTTGTATTTTAAGAAGAAACCTTGGGCAGCTTTGTGGAGAATGGTTTGAAGGCCAGCAAGAGTCAACTACAGGCTGAAATTCAGGGAAGCAAGTTGGGCTCAGCCTGCAGGCAGTTCAGTGGGGCTGCAGGTAGGGGATATACAGGGCCTTGAAAACCCTGAAGCAAGAAGAGACCATCTAGGAGGCAGCAAAGGTGTATTCTAACTTAGGAGCTCTGCTGTGACTCCTGAATTTCTAATAAATAAGGACCTAGGTGGTGCTGGCTTTGCCAGCTCCTAGAAATCATGTCATTAAACCATGGCCCCGGGCCCACATTAACCTCATCCCTGTTTTTATAAACAAAGTTTTCTTGGAACACATCCATTTGCTTCTGCATCACCTCTGGTTGCTCTTGTGCTCCACAGAGTCGAATAGCTGCAAAAGGTACCATTAGTCCACTCTATAAAGAGTTGACTCTTTATAGAAAATGTTCCAGCCAGACTGTGAGAAACAAGCATAAAGACCCAGAAGACAGACAGGGAGATAAAATGTGGATAAATACCCAGACAAGCTGAAGGTATATGAGGGCTGGGAAATAGTCTGCCCTGACTCTACTAGCCTTCCCTCTCTGCAGGAGATAGGCACCTGAATGTCAGTCTTCAAAATCAAGTTGGTTTGTCAGTTGCTGGGTGGCTAATCATTGTTGATTCATTGTAGAAGTTCTCGGCTCAAGGGGTTCTACCTGGCACCTGTTTAAACACATAGAAATGTGTCTCCACAAACAGGAGAGTATAGATATGACTAGACAGCACCGGGGGACCTGAACGAGCCTGTCTTGTCAGCAGGAAGTTAATGTTGACCCCTGCTTGTGTGCACTCCTAGCAAGTTGTTCACCTTTTCCCCTGAATGCACACCTGCTCAGCTCTCTCAGTAATTTAGTAGGCATCATCAAAGCCTGCCCTGCCTTCTGCTCACTCCACTGATGGAGTGAGGCATCACTCTGAGGCAAATCACTTCAGAACAAAATGGAAGAGTGGGAGAGAGGAAGCCCAAAGGAATCCTTTAAGAGTTGTCATTTTGACAGTCTTTTCGGCAAAAGTACAAATGAGATCTAGCTCTTGTATGGAAATAACTAAGCTAAAATGACTTTAAAACCCTTTCAGGGTGTTAGAAGCTATGGGTTTTAGGAAGTTGCTTCTAGTATTTTAGCTTTACTAGGCCATTTCCTGCTACAGTGTAGTAACATCAAGTGATGCCTAGCAACACATTAACATTAGTCAGTTCCCTGCAGTCACCATAGAACACAATTTATGACTCCTGGAACCCACCAGGCTGTCTTCAGTAGCAGAAGAAACTGTGTTCTAGTCAGAGTCCATGCATATCAGTAGCATTCCAAATATTATGATATGTATTTTTATTAAATGGTGCTGCTGTTCTGTTTTTCCCCATCCGGGGATTGTGTAACAAAACAACTGCCAAGAATGAGAGATTAAGTCTGTGTGACTGACTGCCTCATTCTACTTAGAAAGCTCAAGTTGTTCGGGGTGGGGTTAATGCGCACAGGATTCATCAGGATAGGTGAACAGAAATACATTCTGCACTTGCTGGTTGCTTTCAGCATTCCCAACAAATCTGCATCTCAAATCAGCATCCACCGGGATCATCTGCTTTATACAGCAGCCCTCCCGGGAATCCCAGAATCTATGGTGGATCCAAATAGACTTTTCACTTAATAAGTAGTTGAGGGCAAGTTTGGAACTCTGAATTAGAATAGGGTATTTCCCCCGAAATTCAGTAAGTTTCATATTCTCTCTCTCTCTCTTCTTCCCTCTCTCTTCCTCCCCCCCACCCCCGTCTCTCCTGTTAATCCTTCAGCAAAGGGCTAAAAACTATGCTCTCATGAAGTCCCCCCACACCATGCTGCACATTTTAATAAACCTGTCTAAATGTCTTCCTGCAGAGCCTGCTGCAATGCAACAGACACAGAAGAGCAGACAAAAGAGAAAGCTTGTTTGGGGGGGGGGGTAGGGGTGCTTCTGAGGCAAGTGGAAAAGAAGCCCAGCAAGGGCCCAGGGGTTTTGTTGTCTGAAATAAGACTGGAGTTGGAAGCTTCAAGGATTTGGTCTACAGCAAGTCCTAGAAGTTTCTTTGGACAGGAGAAATCATTAAAGGGCTTTACACATCTATTTGCATGAATTAGCAAGCCTGGGCGAGCTTCTGACATGTGTTTGAAGCTCTGATCTGACATGAAGGTCACATACATGTCCCCAGAAGCGTGTGCGTACTGTGAAGGTACGTTAACAAACCTTTCCAGCCAGCGTTGAAAGATCCTCTCCTCCAATGATCTGCATCTCACCCAGGGACTGATCGTTCTGTGAAAAGGGGGAGGGGAAGAAAAGGAAGACAACGATTTTAGTTCACAAGAAAACCTTAAAAGCACATTTTCCCATCTCCTTGGTTAATGGCTAGACTGTGCCCTGCAAATACAGTGCACGTAGCTACTGAGGGCTCATGGTTGCCTATGGTTACCAAGAGCCACTTTCCTGCAGGCTCTTGAGACAAAGCCAGCTAATGACTGGCTGGTGGGGAAAGACTGTAGAGGAGGATGGACAGCTGGAGAGAGGACAGACAAACTTAATATACCATAGATGGTACCTATCCCAAGATAAATAGGAAAAGATAACCACTTGTGGACTTTGCTAAAGTGAGGGGGCTGGGAAGCCCCAGGAGTGAATTCCAATAAGCCCTAGCCATGGGTCGCACTGGAGAACAATCAAATTCCCCTACAATGG